TAAACTTGAACACAGGTGGAAGCTTTGTTGGCATTAAATCCTGGTCTGGTTAGGCTCAGGTAAGAATTAAAAAACATCACTTATAAAAATTCAATACAAGCCCTCAGACACAAGTTTTGGCCATAGTATCCAAAAATGGGTATATCTTCATCAGGATTCATCTTGAAGTTCTCATAGTTGAAAGTTAGAATGTCAATATTGAACTTCTTCACCTAGTTTGTTCCTTCATAGGTCACCCTAACTTATCCCAAATCTCCTTAGCATTAAAGCATTAAGATAATTTACTATATTTTTCCGGGCCAAGAGCACAAAATAGTATGTGCATGGCTTTGGCATTGAGTTGGGCTAGCTTCCTATCTTCATTTGTTCACTCCAATCGTTTCCTTGGAGGGGTGGGAGGACCTTCAATGATTACATCCCAAACTGAAAGGTTTGTGGCATGTATGAACAAAATATTCTATTCTTCTAATAGTTTTAGTTAGCAGCATTCAAGTATGGAGACCTTATGATGGAATGAGAATCCTATAAGTATTATGAGCTGGAGGTCGAGGTCATCCTCTCAATTATGTCAGAATTGATACTGTCTCTTAATGATCGTCTTAAAGATCTTCTATGATACCAATTATTGTGATTTTTAGGCTCTAAAGATAAAAAAAATGCCAAAAGGGGATGAATTGGCCTTTCAAAAATTTTGGGTATGGAAGTAAAAGGATAGGAAATTTTGGACAAATATTTAGAGTGGTTCAACTTCTTCAATGAAGTCTATATCCACTACCTTAGTTCCACATTAAGGATTTTAACAATATTACTATTTTTTTTCTTTTTTAGGCTCAATAGTAACCTTTACAAATCTATATCTCTTTAAAGGCTAAGATAGAACCACTCCCCCTTTTGCAAAGGATAAAATATGTAAACAAGAAAACCTCACAAAGTAGGTGTTTACAAGAAGTAAGATCACAAGAAAGAATCCTAAGGATTTACAATTAAGCTCAAAACACTTATGTACAAGAGAAAAAGGGAAATAAAGAGTGAAAAGGCTTTTCCCTTGATCTTGATTGCTTCGATAGGTGTTATAACCTTCTTCAAGTGTTTGCTTTTATCAGTTGGAATGTGTTTGTGGTCATTTTAAGCCGTTGGGGATGATTTGGACCCCATTGGGGACTTTAATATATACAAAATAAAACTACCCAAAATAGGGAAAATCGCTATTGTCTTTTGGAGTATCAGTACTTTCTTTATAATATTTAAATAAACTAGTTGTTAATGATCATTGAGCTTGACTAGTATCGATACTAGGGTTTATGGTATAGATACTACTATAAAAAGTTGTATCGATACTCCTAGAGTAACGATACTAATTTTGCATTATGTAGTTTGAACAACTTGAAAAATGAATGGTAGTGTTGATACTTGTCTTACCTATGGCATTGGTATTGTAAGAACAGATGCAATAACGATATCGTAAGAACGATATCAACACTACTTACCTAGAAAAGCATTTTATGTTCAAATTCTAGTTTTCTGACCTTTGAATTATTTTTAAAATCTTTGAACAAATTTAATGAAGTCCAAAAATATTTTTCCCTAATTTTTTATATCATAATATAAATTCAACAAAATGGTTTGTAAATATTTAAACAAGTATTTAAAATAAAATTATTAATAAAAATAAAATTGTTAAAGGTTTTTTAATATAAGTCACTAGTCTAGTTAAAATGTAAAAATATACAAAATTACAATAATGATTTCCAACTTGTATCGTAAACTTAATACATAATCTAAACATTTTTTCTATAACATTGTAACTAGCTACTTTAGATTATACAATGACCATACATGAAAAAGGTTAAAAACCCAACCAAAAGATTCAAACAAAAATAGATACATGAACCAATCTTATTATATCGACAAACATACCACAAAAGGGGATTAAGTTATTAAAAGAGCATCGAGAATCGTAAATTAAAGTCAAACATTGTAAGAAACTATCTGCGAACACAAATAGTTTATCGAAATTCAATCTAAGAGTCCATTGCATGGAAGATCAATAAGATTTCAAATAAGCGTAATCTTGATCAGTCATAGTATTATCAAATTTAACCCTAAGAAAATATTTAAAAAAACGGATGGTCTAGAAAAATATTGAAAAATGTGCCACAAAGATAGAGAAAAATGTGCCACAAAGTCATAATTATTTTTATAAAAAACTAGAAAAAAAAGAAGGAAAAATGAACTGGTGATTGACAACCAACATCAAATTTTATGCTACAATCGATTATACAAAATCAAAGAAAAAAAGTTGATATGATATTTAAAATATAATTTGTAGTATATAACTTTAACATATAAAAATAATAATAAATCATAGCATATTAGACAACAATAATAAAAAGCAATGTTTTCAAAATCGGACCGGACATTGAACCGGTGAAGGTACAGGTTCACTAGTTCAACCGGGTTCAACCGCGGTTGAACCGGATTTTATATAAAATAATATATTTTTTTAATTTTACATAATATTCAAAGCAATATTAATATATATGTAACACTTTTTTTAAGTTTACAATATTAAAAGGTATAAAAATATCACAAGTCATAACATGTATAAATAAAAAACCATAAAATCAAGTGAAACAAAATGATTCAAATCAACTACAACATAATATTTAAGGTAAAACATATTAAATAATAAATATAATTATATAACTATAATCAAAAAAATTAAAATTGGGGCTTAAAAAAATCATAACAAATGATGTCATTTGGTTTAATTGTTTTAAAAAAACAATCTCACATGGCTAAGAAACATAGAAGAGTATCCCAAAAGTTTAAAGAGTAAAAATATGAGAACAAAACAATCCCACATGACTAAGAAACATAGAAGAGCATCCCAACTCACTTCTATAAATAATAGAGGTAATTTGACATTCAAAATCATGGAGCCTTTTGGTGAGCACAAAGCGAACTATTCTTTCGCTTCAATTGAGCTCAAATTTTAGGCTTCAATTGAGCTCAAATTTTAGGCTTCAATTGAACTCAAATTTTAGGCTTCAATCGAACTTCTAATTTTTTTTTAGTTCAAGCCTTTTCGATTTCAAGTTTTAATATTATATTTCGAGTTGATAATTTTTAGCTCGTGAGTTTTTGAGTCGAGTTGAGCTTACTTTTAAAGTTTTCGAGTTTGAGTCGAGCTCAGCAATACTCGAATTTGACTCGGCTCGTTGAACAAACGACGTCGTTTGGTTTAATACTTTTTTTAAAGAAAAAAAGTGAACCGGCGGTTCAAACCGGTTTTGTCGGTTTTTAGCAGGTTCACCCCGGTTTTCCCAGTTTTCAGCCGGTTCTTTACCGGTTCTGTGCTAATCCAGTTTTGGGAGTTAACATGATCGGACAGGCCACCGATTCACGGTTCAACCGATCGAACCGGCCGGTCCGGTCCGGTTTTAATAACATTGATAAAAAGTGACGAAGGTATGTATGTGGTGAACGGAACCCTAAAATAATTAGGTATTTATTAGTTAAAATTAAATAAATTACATATGATCTCTAATTTTTTATTTGAATATATTTTAAATTAATATGAATTTTGAAAGTAACCCAAAAAAAAAAAACAAACTTACATGTTTAAACCCAACATATATTTTAAAATATATATATTTTCTATTCAAACTAATTTCTAATATTTTCACCTTTCCAATATGCTGTTCCAACTTTAACAATTTTTTTTTTTTTGAAAAATCATATATTATTTATTTAGTTTTAACAAATTGCATATTAAATACGCATCCGTATACATCCCAACTTCATAATACAAACATATTTGGTGAATATCAAAACGTACAAACTTATTTGTAACAAAAATAAATTCTAAATTAATAATTAGGTTCATTAACTTAATTATACTTTATTTTTATATAATTTAAAAATAATAATAATTTAAGGGTTAGAAACAAAAATTCTTAATTATTAACTAGATTTAATATAATTTTAAGTAAGGTTTAATACAAAAATAAATATCTAAATTATACTCAAAAATTAACTTTAGGTGCCTAAATTTTTTTCCAGTCAAATTAGGTGCATAAAATTTCTGACATTATCTAGGTGACTGATCTGTTACTATTGTTTTTGTTAACCAACACGTGTCAAGTTTATAAAAATTTAAAAATTTTATTTAAATTAAAAAAATAAAATTATTTTTATAAAAAAACTTTAATTTCAATCCTTTAACACTGACAGCTGCCATCGAGGTTGTTAATATGTCGAACACCCAGACGTTGAACAACTGATCGCCCAACTGTCATCTGATCTCCAATTTCGAACATCCCCCTTACCATCACTGTAATTCCTAAATTGTAATACCTAAATCTCTAAATTCTTTAAATCCAAACCCTGAATCTCAAAAACTAAAATACCTAAATCTCAATAAAATTACCTTCCCCAGTCCGGTCGACGTTGGTGCGCTCAATTTATCCTTTGTTACCCAAATCTCATATTAGAGTCCTTCATGGAAGTAGTGCTTGCTTATTCCTTGGTTGAAATGATAGGTGCGCAATCAATCTCTAATTGCAATAATTCGCACTCACTAATTTGCTTGGCTACAATGATGGCTGTCGACGAGTGATGAATGATCGGTGGAAAATTTTGGCTACATAGAGACTTAAACGTTGGATACGTTAAACATATTCTTTAAGCGAAATAAAATATCAAAATCTTGCCAACTGATGCATGTCGATATGCAACAAAATGACTGGAACAGGGCAGACCACTGGTAGCAAAATAGAATTGACAAACTTGATCCAAATACAATTCACGTTAAACATATAAAATAAAAATATAAAAAAAAAAATAGTAAACATAAAAATGATCATTTGATGATCAATATGTTCTAGGTAATGGATCAGATAAAGAAACTACAGTATCGATTCGTCTCCATGGGCACGTACTGTAAAAACTCCAGGAGGCATTTTTATATATATATCTCAGATTGTGCTGGATCAATACTAAAATTTACCAAGTTGTTTCTGGATTTTAGAATTATTAGAAGATTTACCCCCTTTGTCTTTGTAGGAATTTCTAGAGGTAGTATTCTTGTGTCCTTTGCGTGATGCTGCCATTGCACGTCGTCTCTGCTTGGCCAAGCTCTTCACGAGTTCGGTTTCATATTCGTCACCCTTCTGCTCATCATCTTCCTCCTGGAACATCAAAACTAGCATTATCAGCATCCTCGAGAAAATATAGATACAAATATAGTTGGGATAAAGAAAATATACATGCCTCGTTGCTTGAGTTTTGACCTTCAGGATCACAGGTTCGGCCTGCTTCAGAGCTTTGCAGATTTTCTTCTACTTGATCTTCCTCGTTAAAGCTGGAAGTTGGCTCTTCCTGAATTGTTTTGTTGTTACCCATAAGATCATCAGCATTCTATATCACGACCAAAGTAAAATGATCACGAGAACTAGGAACAGCATCAGGTAGAAGATGATGAAACATACATCTGTGCAGTAAGATGTGATATTGAAACAGATACCATTAGGGGGAAATCAATCATTGTCACCTTTTCATCATCATCAATCTGCAGAGAAGAAATTTCAAATTCGTATTATTAATTTAAAAGAAGCATATTTTTTTTTTCTTTTCAGTTTAATGAAATTGACACCAAGTAATGACATGATCTTATAAAATTTGCCAGCCAACAAGAAAACAACTTAGATTAGTAAAAAATGGTCATTGTGATGAAATAAAGTGTGTCAAAGGAATATCATTATGTTAACTCATTGAAGTCGCAATGAATTAGACCATGTTCTGCCAGACGAACAACACGGCCAATGATTGTTTCAAATACTGTCTCTGGATTTTGCAACTGTTTCACTTGAAAACTGTATAAGATGAAGAAAAGGGGGGAAAAGAGTGGCTACCAACACATGATGAAGATAAATCCTAGAGTTATGATGCAATAATGACAGCACATAGCAAACTTATTTGAAACAGCCACACCAATTAACATTACCAGTAAAATTTATTGAAACAGCTAAGCTTACTCTCATCAACTCTGTTAAACTCATTTCAAAATAAATAGGACGAAAAGATTTAGTGTTTAAGGGGCAACAAATTATAATTCTATACGCTTCCTTCCAACAACCAATTTTATTCGTTCACTTGCTAAGAATGGATGTTAAAGCCTCTTGACATGCATGCAACAGGGCTATATGCAAACAAATCTTGAGAATTAAAGAGAAACCTTTACAGTGGGTAACCTTTGAAAAGAGACATAACTACACAATGTCTATTACTGTCCACAGCATTTGGTACAGGAAAACCATGCTCTTCCAAAGCCTGAATAAGAGAAGTGCATGTATAAGTCCTACTTTGTTTACTACAAGAAAGAAAAAAAGCGGGTAATGGGAAAACATTTAAAAGATGTAGATAGAAAGAGTTACCAGACTCTTTGCCAACCCCAATTTGACAACCAACAGCGGTGAAGACTCCACGGTTGACCATGGTTTTAATGGCAAGGAAATCATAGCCAAGATACGTAAGACGAAACCCATCATCTAAATTCAAGAGGGAAAAGAAAATTTGACCGCCCTGTTTTGTTACACAAGGAAAAGCATAATTATTACATAAGTATTAAAATAGTTTTTCATAACATAAAGAAAAACTAATACAGATTTAAACTTGAAATTAGAAGGATGGTAAAAACCCTAGTAAAAGATAAGACTTCTTCAAATTAATTAAATTATGTTACTCCGTCTGTCCCATTAAATTTGTCTTTTTTCCTTTTTAAAATTGTCCCATTTAAAATGTCCAATTAAAAAAGCCAACAAACAATAACACTAATATTTTCTTTTTTATCTTTATGTGTTCCACTATTTTATATTTAACAAAATAAATCTGTCAAATCTATCAATCACTTAAGGATAATTTTATCATTTCCCTCACTTTATGTTTTGTCAACAAAACTTTATGTTTTGTCAACATTGGACATAAATCTGGGATGGAGGGAGTACTTCCCTTTGTTAAAATCAAGTCATTTGAGTGGCTCAAATTTATCAAGGGAAACTAGTTTATTGCTAACTCATGCACCAAGACATGTTAAAAAAAACTATATGCATAGGAATGGTAAAACGCATAATGATTATACTTGATTTTTGCCTATGCAACTTATTATTTTGCTTATTAAAAAGTCTAAAATAAAGCAAAAGTGCATAACTAAACCAATAACATTAGACAAACTATACTTGATTCTATATGGGAAATATGTTTTTCATCATTAAACTCTGGTAAAGTAAAAATAATAATAATAATAAATAACTTTCAAACATAATGTACAAAAAGAATTAAAAAAAATGAGAAAAGAGAATATAAAACTAACATTTGGAAGAATAATGATGCACAAGTTTATGCTTGAGTAAGTTCTTCAAGACCTTGTAAGTGCCTCCATCCCTACAATAAAAATAATACATTTTATTGATAGTAAAAAATGTATAATTATAATCATAAAACAAAATAACACTATTAATACTTGGGCGAAGCTATACAACCGATGAACCCTAAAATCATCTTTGGAGATATATCTTAAAACGTCGACGTACAGCTTCATCTTGCTCTCTTTTACTGATAATTTAGTACACCTCTTCCTCAACACAGGAATTCAGTTCCTTGAGCGAATGAAGCCAACTGTTAAAAAGACGACACGACGTTATGCGGAAGTGAGATTGAAGAAAGCAGTAGCAAGAAGACACTCGGAGGTTATATTTTTGAATGAGAGTTGGCTTTGGTCCTAAAACATTGTAACCCCTAGATTCAGCATGGTTGTTATAACTAAATCTAGACGATCACATATCAAATATAAATTTCTTTCCATATTTAAAAACATATAAAAATGCATTTCAAAAATTAATCCAAATAACAAGGTTATTATGCATGGTTGTTATGACCGAATCTAGACGGTCACATATCAAATATAAATTTCGTTCCATATTTAAAACATATAAAAATGCATTTCAAAAATTAGTCCAAATAACAAAGTGGTGCATAATAACCACCAAAAAGTCCATATGGTAAACATATAAAGTTCATAGTTCAAAACAATATATCGGGGATACGATATATCTAGACAGTAAAATAAACATGTGTCACCAAAATGCATATCAAAAGTGGCATACAGAAATATACTGAAAAGGGAGAACTATTGATCCTCCTGATGCCAACTCTGCTAACTTACTGTCGGGTAGTATCTGAAAAGTAAAAGTTTAAAGAATGAGCGAAAAACTCAGTGTGCTCCTTACAATATAAAAACATTCAGATAAATATTTCAGTAAAAGTTTATTTATAAAAATGCTTTTTAAAAATCATGATTCACTACCCCATCCGAACACCAAAATGTGCAGGTTCCCCTAAACCATACACTCACCTATACGCCCAAAAAGGACCTTATGTTGTTAGCATAAGGACCTGCGGTAAGGTCTAAGCCTGTGCACAAAGTAGAGGTGTTTGTGGTAATGTCTTAATAATCATAGACTATGCGTGAAACACTTCCTCCAATCATACCTCCCAATGACAGTTGTCATAACGTTTACTCGGGGGATCCGTTAGACTTTAAAAATTTGAATTCAGGGAAGGCGATGAAACATAATTTTGAAAACATTTTAATTTTGGAGTCGCCACCAACTTTTAATAGGGTAGGATGGAAACCTTAAACGTTAAAAAAATGGTCTGTGTTTTACCAGAGATTCGTTTTTAAGAGTTCAGAAGTCAGTTACGCGTGAGGAAGGGTGAGCACCCCCATATCACCCAAATTTGGGTACCTAAACGATTATACGGTGTTTAAATATTGAGAATTACAAACTTCGAAATGTATTTAAATTATGATCATTTTATTCAAATCTGTTTAAAAAAATGTCAATTTCCAAAACAATTAACCTAAAATAAGAAAGACAATGGGTCAAAAAGGTCAAAGAGCCCAAAAGATATTTTTTATAGAATAAAAAATATTATAATTATTTTTATACGAGAAAACATCATTTTGTGCGAACAATCCTTGAAAATACACTTCCTTTATAGTTAGGAGACATTTTCATAGATTCCCCTCACAAAATGGTGTTATTTCATATTTTCAAAAAACAAAAACAAAAACAAAATAAAATAAAATAATGAAAAGAGGTGAAAAATAATCAAAATAAGTAAATGTAAAGCAAAGAAAATCAAAAATAAGACTTTTGTGCGAAGAATCCTCAAAAAGACACATTCTCTTATAGTTGGGAGATGTCTTCATAGATTTCCCTCACAATAAGTAATGGATCAGTATACAAGTTTCCTAAATCGACCATCAAGATTATAAATACTACACAAATAAGAGGGTAAATAAATGAGGTTGAATCATAAATAAAACTATACCACAAGCAATATCAATTACTAAAGTAAAATGAGTAATAAGTTAAGATACCTAAATGTGAATACTGAAAACTAAGTGCTGGGAATAAAAGAGTACTGAAATAAAATGTTGAAAAGTTAAATGGCAAAAAAATAAAGTACTGAAATTAAGATGTCGAACAGTAAATAAATAAACAAAATAAATTGCATAAATTTAAAAGTTAGGGGTTAATTTGTACAGTCAAATAAAATGTTAGTAATAACAGTAAAAATGAAAAATTAGTACAATAATAAAGTGAATAAATAAAAGTTAGTAAGTTAGTTTGAATAAAATAAATATTAAAGTGTTGGTAAGTCAGTGGCTAAAATAAAATAACAGAAAGTAAAATGCATAAATTAAAACAGAAAATATTTTGTTAGTGACTTACTTATAAATAACTAAACTTAAGTGATAAAAATGAAATAAACAAAATATAGGAATTTGGGGACCAAAATGTAAAACACTACAAACATGAGAGGGGTTTTAACATAATTTTACGAGAATATTTAGTGGTCATTTCATAAAAACGCGCTAAATGTACAGGGTCCTTAACATAATTTCATGTGCGGGGTTTGCTGACAGATTTGTGAAAACACTGCAATAGTGTTGTGACTTAAACGTAATTTTACCAATTTTTGTTTTATAAATACTATCTTTTTAACTATTTTAGGTAAAAAAAAAACCTAGCCTCTACTTTGTTATCTTCTTATTCCTCCTCTCTCAACTCACTCTCCTCAACGCCGATCGAAACTCTTCCAAGGCCAAAACCCGGCTGACCACAGTGCCTTGGTGGCCGGATTTAATCCGGCAGCCCACGAAAACACCTATTTCCTATATTCTAACCTATATCGAGCTCAAAGGCACCCAAATAGAACCAAAAACATTATTTTTTTCTTGACCGAACCCGAACCCGAGCACCGCCATGGAACGGTGACCCTATCTCTCTCGACCACCACCAAGGTAAGCTTTAATCTCTTCTCTAATTTTTTTTATGTTATTCGAAAATGAAACTTGCATGCAAACAAAAAGAGTTGAAATACCTTTGATAAAAATATGGAAAATGCTTGAATCTGATCTTTTTGGGTATGTTTGTATTGCTTCTTTTCGAATCCTTTTTTTTCGGTCCTTTACACTGGTTTTTCGGGGTATTATATACCCGATTACATGAAAATAAAAAATATTTCTTTTACCCTTTGAATATGATTTTTCCACGTGTTTGACAGGGTAAAATCGACGTGTTTGACGCTGGTAAAGTTGGTAGGTCGGGGCATTTAATGCCCCAGATTTCTTGTGATTCTGCCTCGGGGTGGCCAGATTGCGTGTAGGAAAGTCAAGGGTGACGGCTGTTGGAGCTAGGGTTTAGAAAACCCTAGCTACTCTTTCTTTCACGTGGACTCTTGCCCATTGGGCCTCGAGTCGGGTCTTATTCTTGATGAATGTAACAAAAATCATCCAATTGATTTCATTAAAGAGTGGAAAAAGGTACATTTTTTGGATGAATATTTCTTTTAACGAAAGAAAGATAAACATTACAAAAAGAACAGAGATTAGGTACACCCGATATCAAGTGCGTGAGTCTTTCTATCATTTTGTCCCAAGTCTCTCCTGAAAGTTGACATGTGTTTATAGGATTCAGATCATACTAAAGATGTCTGAGTATAAGAATCTCTCCCCTAATTGTCAATATTATGAGCTAACCCCAAATATTCATTTTTAACTCATATCCCTCATTTGGATTCAAGACATTGTTTTGGGTTTTTGTCTTGATCCCCTGTTCCATTTTCTTCTCTACAGGTGTAGTATCTCTTGACTGAATTAGATTTTACGGGAATATACAACTCATCTCCATCCATTTCATTCAAAATCAAATCCCGAAAATTCCTTCTTTACGACATAGGGGCCTTCCCAATTTTGCATCTATTTCCCTCGGAAGTCTTTTTGCATGGGTAAAATCGTTTTTAGTACTAGACCTCCTTCGTGAAATTCTCAAGGTCTAACTTTCTTGTCATGAGCTCATATCATCCTCCTTTGATACATTTGGCCATGACAGATAGCTCTCAATCTTTTCTCATCGATTAAATTCAACTGATCAAATTTGTTCTGAACTCACTCAGCCTCTTCTAACTTGAGCACCATCACTATTCTCAGAGAAGGGATTTCCACTTCAACTGGCAAAACTGCCTCCATCCCATAGATAAGTGAGAATGGTGTTGCCCCAGTCGATGTTCGGACTGATGTGCGGTAAGTGAGCAGAGTGAAAGGTAGCTTTTCATGCCAGTCCGTATATGTTTTAGTCATTTGGACAATCTTTTTGATGTTTTTATTTGCTGTTTCTACTGCTCCATTCATTTTTGGGCAATAAGGAGCTGAATTGTGATGCTTGATCTTAAATTTTGCACATATTTACTTCATCACGTCGTTGTTCAAATTCAGAGCATTATCTGTTATGATTCTTTCTGGGGTTCCATATCTACAAATAATTTCCTTCTTAGGAATCTACACACTACTCCTTTCGTAATATTGGCATATGATATGGCTTCAACCCACTTGGTGAAATAGTTCATAGCTACTAGGATGAAACGATGCCCGTTTGAAGCCTTTGGTGAGATTGCCCCGATGAAATCTATGCCCCACATTGAAAATGGCCATGGCACAGTCATTACATGAAGTGGTGAAGGAGGAACATGTATTTTATCACCATGGTTTTAACATTTATGGAATTTGCATGCAAAGCTGATACAATCCCCTTCCATTATTGACCAGTAATAATCAAACCTCATAATTTGCATGGCCATTGTGAAACCATTCGCATATGTCCCACAAATTCCTTCGCGGACTTCTTCAAGTATCTTCTTGGCTTCAACTTTTTCCACACATCTCAGCAGTAACAAATCTTTTCCTTATTTGTACAAAACATCTCCATCAAGGACATACCCCATAGCCAAATTCTTAGGGTTCTTTTGTCATTTTCAGTAGCTTCAACATGGTAAGTTTGATATTTCACATATTGAAGAATATCATAGTACCAAGGGAAACCATCTTCCTTATCCTCTTCTTCAATATTACAACAATGAGCTAGTATTTCTCTTATACTCATTCAGATGGGCATCATATAAGCTTGATCATTGATTTTGAACATTGAAGCTAGTGTGGCTAAGGCATCCGCCATCTGGTTTTTTTCTATCGGGAGATAATTAAAAGTAATCTCCTCAAATCCTTTTATCAGATCCATGACTAGATTCTTGTACTATACCAATTTGGAATCTCTAATCATCCATTCTCCACGAAGTTGATAAATAACTAAGGCATAATCTC